TGAAGGAGGCAATGCAAGAGTTTGTTACATAGAAATTCCAACACAAACTATGAAAAAATGGAGATATGAGGACTGCTTTTTGTCGCTTAATGCGACCGGGGTTGGCTGAGTGACGCCTCAAATGAGCCTTTCGAGCACGATAGATTACACATCAATCGCAAAAAATTAAGAAACTAAGCATTCATTAAGTAAAGCTAGATAAGAGATTTTATGTATCCATTGAGACAGAACTTGATTCGCAAATTCTGAACTCCAGCTTCATACAGGAATTTTCCTCGACTGAAATAAAAGCATGCAGTTCCAGATTGTTCTGTTTAAAGTGTGAACGCCTAAAAATATGCCCGTAAACACACTTTTATGGCGTTCTTTAACGTTGAGAAAATAGGGGTATACTGTTATTGTAAATTGAATAGCTCCTATATTAAATTTATTAATTTGATTCTATATTGATGCGGATCATTAGAAACGTTTGTCTTTTGAGAAACTAAGAGGTTTAGCATTACAGTTCCTATCTTTTCTCTGCATGACAGTATTCTATGGAATTACAAAGGTCAATATTATGCTTACTACCCCTTATATCCTTGACGCTTTAGAGTACGTTCTGTAATTAAATGTATGATCATAAAGCCATTAGTTGATACAGTTGATACAACTATAGCGCAGATACTCTTCCTTTGCAAAATATTACTGGTAATCTTACTTAGGTAGAAATCCTCAAGTATAGGAAAATTTTAAAATCAAGTCATAAAGTCATACTTCCCACAAACTGGCTATGAAGCAAAAATCATGAAATTTCAATGATTTTTGGTTCAATGCCAGTTCGTGGAAAGTATGAGATTAAAAAAACTAGTTAGATAGGAGTAGACGGCGATGGATCTAAAGACTTGCCTTTACAGCAAGTTTTCTACATTCCAAAAACGTTTCGAGATTGTCTGTTTGTTACAAGTAAGAACCGTAAAACTTTCTGAGATCCTGTAAAACAGCTACCTTGTTGCCAACGCATCTGAATCACTAGTGCTTCTAAAATTGTGTAATCTTTCCAACACTTCTATTTTTATACAATCAAATACCAGGCAAATGTAAGCACTCATGTCACCCAACTGCACTGTTGCACTCTCAATTTTCCTTCATTTAATTCACTTTATCGTTTGCTCTTCTTTCCAATGTCGCTATGCGCAACTTGCAACTAAAACTTATTAGGTTGTAAATTGTAGAAGAAATGCAAACCTTTACCGTTATATAAGGAGGTGGTTTCCACCAGCTCCATTCGCTGCTTTTTAGTAATAGCCGAGGTGCGCATTTGAACTCTCTCAATAATGAACAATGAAAACCAACTGGTTGAAAATTCCTACGTTATAGATGCGTACCTTACTCACACTCTGTCCTTTGAAACTTATTTTTTCTAGATGCATGCCTTCATTTTTTTCCTCGTTGCTGGTGTTGTATTCGCCGATTATCAATCTCAAAACTCTGGCTATGAGAATGCTGAAATTGCTCAACCTACACCTGAAGCTCCACTAAGCGCTGATGGCGGAGATCAACAAGCATACAATTCGGATATAGGATCTGATGGAGGACTGCCTTCAGTTCCTTCTCAACCACCAGCATCTGGACCTACCCTATTGTCACCGGTACCAATACTTGAAACTGTTTCTGGCAGCAATGGAGTAAGCGTTGCTTTAGAAGTAATTTGATTTTTCTTTTATTAATCTCCTTTTGTCGGTATTGTAGATTTTTTCAGACTGGAAGTGATGCTGGTATGGCGTATAAGAATCGGCGCCGTTTCCGTGTTCGCCACGCTCTTCGTTCGCGTCGCCTTTGATTCGTGAATTCTTAAAAGAATCTATACAGTTCTATTGTGATAAAAATCAAATTTAATAAATCATGCACATTTTGAATGTAGCTTTCTTCTGCTCAATAAGCTAAGGGATACACAAATTTGTTAAAAGTTGTGTATTTCAGGATAACATTGGAGCAGCAACATCTTACATTCTTCATGAATGCAGTACACCACACCCGTAGTAATTGCTGAGTTACGTATGGAAGACTATAAAAGAGCGGTGTTTCGGTT